TTGCTTGAGCATGATCCTATAGTACCATTTTTTCTGGTCCTTATCATATTGAGTATTAGGGACCCTGTAAACCTTCAATGAGTGAATGAGTCAATTGTATAACTCTTAACTCTCTCCACTGCCTTCTTCCCATTTTCTCCTCAACCCACACCGTTCCAGCTTTGATCCCACCACTTCACTGAAACCATTCTTATTGCCAAACCAGCATTTGATCCTCCAACCTAGGGCCGGCTAGGGAGATGACCTGTGTAGTCACACAGATCCCACGCTTAGTTTAATGCCCTGCCCTCACTGTCTTGAAATTCTTAATAATTTTTCTACAAGGGCCCCCACATTTACATTTTACACTGGGCTGCACAAATTCTGTAGCTGGTCCTGTCCAGGTGTGATCTTACTAAGTCTCTTCAAAACGTTTGACACAGCTTGTCACTCTCTTGAATACTTACTGAATTCCTGGACCCCTCAATCTCCTTCCCCCTCCTACTTCATTTATGGCTCCTTCGTTCTCTCAAGGGTAAATACCTTCACCCTATTCTTTATCTATACTCACTTCCTGAGCCATCCCATCCAGTTTCTAGTCCCTAATACATTATCTAGACTGCAGCTGCTAACAGAGCAGAAACAAAAACTATAGTACTAATAGCTACATTTGAGTGTTTTCTATGTGCCAGGCATGAATTACAAATATCATTTCACTTAATACTTTAAATACTTCATTTTGCAGTTGAAGTGTTCCAGGCATAGAAAGGTTGAGTAACTTGCCCAGGGGCATACAGCTGGTAAGTGAAAGCCTGGATTTGACTCAGGGAGTCTAATTCTCTAGTTTGCTCTTTTATCTACCACACTGTACAGTCAAAAACCTCTCCCTGAGCTCCAGGTGAATTTATCCATCTCCCTGCTTAACATTTCCACTTGCATGTTTAATGGGCATCTTAAACTTACTATGTCCTAAAAAGAACTCTTGACTCCCACCCCATCCTGCCTCACTCCCAACCTCCTTCTGTTCTGGTCTTTCCAGTCTCATAAACAGCTCTAAGAGTCACCTGGGTGCCCAGGCCAAAAGCCTGGCACCTTTGCTGCTGCTTTTTCTCTGTCTCACCTCTAACCTGTTAGCACGCCTCGCAGGCTCTAGCTTTATGATGTCTTGATGTTGACTACTTCTCCTGCTTCCACAGCTTCCAGCCTAGTGCAGACCACCACCTTCTTCTGACTGGATTATTGCGGTGGCCTCCTGATTGACTTCCTTCTTCCCTTCTGTCCCCCTACCCCCTAGATGTTCTCCACACAACAGCCGGAGTGATATTTTTCTAAACGTTTTATTGAAGTATAAGATAGGTACCAAAATTGGACAGCTTGATGAATTTTCACAATGTGACATACCTATTTAACCAACACCCAGGAAAAGAAAGATAACGTTTCAAGTACCCCCAGTGCTCCCTTCTAGCCACTATCCTCCCTCTCTGCCACCCAGATCAGCTCTGTGCTGACTTCTAACCCCAAAATTAGTTTTACTGCTTCTTGAACTTCATATAAATGAAATTTAATTACACAGTAGGTACATAGTATGAATATGCCACAACTTATGTATCCATTTTACTTTGATGGATAGTTGGGTTTCTAGTTTTGGTCTATTTTGAATAGTACTGCCACAAACATTATTGTACGTCTTTTGCTAAACATACGTAAGAATTTCTGTTGGGTATATACCTAGGCGTGGAATTGCTGAGTCAAATGGTAAGTGTATACACAGCTTCAGTAGATATTTTAAACAATTTTCCAAAGTGGTTATAACCACTTGCATTATGTGAGAGTTCCATTTGTTCCACATCTTCACCAAGATTTGGTATTATTTTTTTTCATTGTAGCCATTCTGATAAGTGTGTAGTGATGTGTTATTGTGGTTTTAATTTGCATTTTCCTGGTGACTAATGGAATTCAGCACCTTTTCATATGTTTATTACCTATTTGCATATTCTCCTTTTTGAAGTGCCTGTTTAAGCCACTTGCCTATTTTCCTGCCTTTTCTTGTTGATTTGTAGGATTCTTTATAGATTCTTTGTTATATATTAGATATATGTGTTATAAATATCTTCTTCCACTCTGTGGCTTGCCTTTTCACTTGCTTAGTGGTATCTTTCAATGAACAAAATTTCTTAACTTTACTGTAGTACAAATTATTATTCTTTTCTTTTAGTGATTTTAGTAATTTAGTAATTTTGATGTCCTGTTTAAGCAATCTTTGCCTACCCTAATGGCCGTGAAGATATTCTCCTGTGTTCTCTTCTAAAAGCTATTGTTTTACCTATCACATGTAGATCTACAATCCACGTAGAATTATTTTTGTGAATAGTATAAAATGTAGGAGTCAAGATACATTTTTTCCCTTATGAATATGCAGCTGACCCAGCATCATTTTTTGCAAAGACTATCCTTTGCTTACTGTCAGAGTGGCAGTTTTCTTAAATGAGCTCATGAGATTCCGCCTGCTCAGAATCCTTCAATGGTTTCCCCTTGCACTTATAATGAAGTAGACACCTGTCACTATGGCTCCTTGCCTGGCACCTGCTTCCTTCTTGCTTCCATCCCACTGTTCCCTTTTTCTCTCCTCCACTGTGGACATGCTGGTCTCCTTGCTGCTCCTCAGTCTTCCAAGTGCATTCTTGTCTCAGGCCCTCGTCCACGGGGTTCCTTCTGCCAGAGGGCTCTTTCTCACATCTCAGCCTGGATCACACCTCAAGTCTCTGCTCAAATGTTCTTTCCTCAGAAAGGACCACCAACCACCCCATATAACATTTAAAATGAATCATGTATGAAAGTCCTCTGAACATGTATGATATTATTAATGAACTGTCTCCCTTACAATATTGTGATTCCTTGAGGTAAGGGATTGTGTCTTATCTCCTTTTGTAGATCTTATTTGCTGTGTAATACCTTAGAACTCGAATAGGGTCCTAAGTATAATGCACATGATAATTCATTGTTTTTCCTATTTTGTCTACATTAGCCCCTGATAATTTAGACCTCGATATAAATATTTAATAGTTTGATAAGCTGTGGTGGAACATCAACTTCTTGTACTTTTTAAAAAAGGGATAGTATACAGCATTATAGCTTGAAAGTTATAAACTCACTCTATTTTTTTTTCCAGTTATTTTATTGAGGTCACACTGGTTTATAACATTATGTAATTTCAGGTGTATGTTATTATATATCAGTTTCTGTATAGACTGCATCATGCTCACCACCAATAGTCTGATTTTTATCTGTCACCAGACACATGTGCTCTTTTACCCCTTTTGCCCACCTCTCCATGCCCTTCTCCTCTGGTAACCACTAATCTGTTCTCTTTATCCATATGTTTATCTTCTACATATGAGTGAAATCATATGGTGTTTGTCTCTCTCTCTGGCTTATTTCACTTAACATAATACCCTCAAGGTCCATCCATGTTGTTGCAAATGGGACGATTTTGTCTTTTTTTATAGCTGCATAGTATTCCATTGTGTGTGTGTATATATACCACATCTTCTTTATCCATTCATCAGTTGATTGGGTTACTTCTCTGTCTTGGCTATTGTGAATAGTGCTACAATGAACATGGGGATGCATAAATCTCTTTGAATTGTTGATTTCATGTTTTTGGATAAATTCCCAGTAGTGGGATAGCTGGATTGAATGGTATTTCTATTTTTAATTTTTTGAGAAATCTCCATACTGTTTTCCATAGTGGCTGCACCAGTTTGCATTCCCACCAGCCTCACTTTAACTATTTTACATGGAAAGAATGCATAGGCTAATTCCAAATAAACTTTATCGATGGATAAAGAACTTAGAAGGTTTTCAGTGACTTTATATTCTCTTCTAACAGTGATACTAATTGTATTTCAAGTTTATAAAGTTGCATTTTTTCTAAGCATTCTACAGTCTAGACAGTGATTCTCATTGACCTGGTTCCTATTATTGGGGCTATTTTGGGGCTACATGCATATATAAAATTTGGTTTGGGGGCAAGAGTTAGGTCTAGCTTTTATTTGTTCATGCTTTGTCCAAGGCATTTGTTTCCACCACTGATTGCCTTTGTTTTCCTTGTCTTAAAGCTTTAAGCTAATGTCTGACACACATGATTCTTTTATTAGTTGTAGAATGTCATAACAGAGTAGAAAGAGACTGTTAAGATGTATCAAGCTATAAAAGACATTACTGGGTCAGTTAACAAAATTGGAAAACAATTGGTAGATTAAAGTATTGTCCTTGATAAATTTCCTAAAGTTAATAACTGTGCTGTGGGTATATAAGAGAATATCCTTATTCTTAGAAAAATGCACTGAAGTATTTAGGAATAAAGGTGCCACGATGATGTGTTCACTTACAAATGGTTCAGGAAAAAAAATATGTGTGTGTGTGCGCGCACATGTGCATGCTCGTGTACAGAAAGAAAGAGTGAGTGCAAATGAGCACAAACGCAAATTATAAACCAAATAGGGCAAACTATTAACTGGTGGATCTGGTAAAGGGTGTATTAATCTTCTTTATACTATTCTTATAATTTTTCTCTAAGTGTGAAATGATCTCCATGTAAACAGTTTTAAAAAAATCATCTCATCCAGCCCTCTCAGGAAAAGCATTCCATCCTCATGACACAAAGGTTCGGTAATTTTCTTGGTCACCCTAAGAGTTAGAGACAGCACTGACTCCTGGTCCTGTGTGCTCTCTATTCCACTGTGCGGCCTTCTTCCAGTAAATAGTCACTGGGCTCTAACTGAATACAGGGTCCAGTAGTCCTTCTCTCTGGTTACATAGGACACAGCCAAACCTGCATTTTAGTGAGGTAGCTCTGGGTTTCTTTTAAAAATGTTTTTGCCTTTACCTGGTCAGCCTTACAACCTCCAGCCCCTCTGTTACCTGGATGTCTCATTATTGGATATGCCGACCATTGTAACGAGACATGCCTACGTTTGCATTTTAACGAACAGTGGTTTTGTTCTTCTGTTTCTTGTCAGCTACTGCTTCTTGGGATACGTTTCTCATGCTATGGAGTGTCAAGCCACAAGCTAGAGCTTTCAGATACGTGGGGCACAAGGACGTCGTAACCAGCGTGCAGTTTTCTCCACTTGGAAACTTATTGGCCTCTGCTTCACGAGACAGAACCGTTAGACTCTGGATTCCTGATAAGTAAGAGAAACAGAGAAACACCTGATAGGCTCTGGGCATGGAAATGTAAAAGGAAACTGAAGCCTGGCTATTCCTTATACACTTCTCGGGATGCCTAACTCCCCGGTGACCTGCACTGTGCTTTGTCTGAGTCACACACCAGGTGTACTGCCTTTGTCATAAAATCACACTATTCAGACCATTCTTTCCCCATCTTTCATTCATAATTATGTCTTCTATTTGAAAACTATTCCTAACCATGGAAATGTGCTTAATGTGTCTTAAGTTTTTTGGAGGGAGGGAGGGTGGTGGTTATCAATCCCTTTGTAAATCTGATGTAAGCTTTAGATTGTCTTCCCAGAAAGATACGCTTCGGCATGTGTAATCAAAATTTTACAATTTATTAACGTCCTAACATCCATTCATGGATCTTTAGGGGCCTTTGGATTTCTATTAAAAACCCCTGTGCCAGAACTGTTCTTTGATGCATATCATTCATTATTGGGCTTCAGAATTTTCTTGCTAAAGAAAATTTCTTGACAAAAGTATAAGTCATTGCGTTTGTGTAACATCCTATCCTGTTATAATAAATCTTTCTATAAGAGGTTTTTCAAACCCCAGCTGATAGCCCATCTGTTTTAAGCACTTATTGAGCCATGATTTTTTAAAAAGTTTTTAAACTCTTAACTATATCAACTTTCAAACATCCGTGGAAATAGAATGAAAAGCGCAACAGCTGGCTCCTCCCAATACCATCAACCAGATTCAGTAGTTCGCAGTATTCTGTCAATCTGGTTTCATCTATTCCTCCCCCCTCCTTTTTTTTGTGCTAGGGTATTTTTAGAACAAATCCCACACATCATATCATTTCCCCCCATAGATACTTCAGAGAATAAGAATTGGAGCATTTTCCTTGCCTGTTGTGGTGGGATTTGATTTGTGGTATGTGACTGAAAGGCTCAGGCACTTCCAAATGAGAGAAAGTTCACAGGGCATTTCCCTGCCAGTAGGCACTTTTTTTCCTGCCACCATGCAAGGGAAGCTCCATGCGGAGAAACCTGAGTGTTATCCTGATGCAGCAAAAACTATTGAAGAGAAGTTAGGTGTTATAATGACACCGTAGATGGCAGTGTAGAGGAGAATTATAAGAGAGAGAGGCTGGTTTGGGGTCCAAAAGGGAAAGCATTTTCTAAGATCCTTAACTTTGGGACTTTAGGACCAGTGGTTTTACTGTCTCCAACACGGCACAGGCTCAGTCTCTCATTACCAATTGAAGGAAGTCTCAGTGAACAAACAGTCCAAGGGTAGATGAGCCACAAGCACACTGAACCATTAATTTGTATTGGCTAATCTAAGTACAACAGGCTTGTGAAGATGTCTCTAGTTTCTCTTTCTAAATCATATCATGGTGGGGCCAGGGCAATACTGGATCATGGCAATGATATATCGTTATCTATTGCTACATAAAAATCCTCAAAACTTAGCAGCTTAATATAATAACTATCATTTCTCACAATTTTGTGGGCTATCTGGATGATTCTTCTGCCCCATTTGGTGTTGGCTGTTACTCATGTGGCTTCATTAAGCTGGCAGCTGGGCTCACTAATATGCCTGGGGACTTGGTGCTGGCTATTGGCTGGGGCGCCTTACTCCTCCATATGTCCTCTCTCCAGCAGGATAAGGACTTCCTTACAGCACGGCAGCTGGGTTCTAGGACAGTAAAAGCAGAAGCTGCTAAGCCTTTTAAGGGCTAGGCCAGAAACTTGCACAGTGTCACTCCTGCCACATTCTGTTGGTCGAAGTAAGTCACAACACTAGCCCAGATTCAAAGGGAGGAGAAATTGGTAGAGCCACCTCCTCTCGGGAGGAGTGGCGTGTGTGTACAGGGATGAGAGGAATTGTAGGTAGCCATATTTGCAGGCAGACACCACAGCTGGTGATGGAAGGCTAAGAAAGAATAGTAGGAGCAAATATGGAAGCAGGTCTGGCCTGGAGTTCATCTTGGTGGGCAGTCAAGAGAATTTGGGCAGAAAGAGCAGGTAAGTACGTGGGAGGCAGAGAGCCAATAGTAAGGCAAGGTGAGAAGCTGGAAACCAGTTAAGCACCAGCACAACACACACAAAGCACTCCTATCTTGGTTCCTGATATGCTTCCTGTTGAGACCAGATCCCGTGGTTAGGCCAGCCTACAGCTGAGAGGAGGGCCTCTGAGAAAGAAGGCAAACAGGATAGGGTGCTGGAGTGTGGAGTGTGGAACTAAGGTCGGGGCAGATTTTGATGATGCTGACTGTCAGCTGCGTGGCCATAGCGATGCCAAGTCTTGTCTTTGTTTTCTCTAGGCCTTATACTTGAATTTAGGCCAAACTGTATTCTTGACTTCTACTCATAGAACTTTCCCTTGAACCTCACTGAACTAGTCCCTGCATGCTCCTTCCTATTTTTTTTTAATATTGATTTTAGTTATTCTTGGTATAAGATCATATATCAGGTGATGGAGGTTTATGACAGAGTCACCTTTGCCTTCCATAGACCACTGGAAGGGTAAGCCAGGATGGATCTAAGAACTTTTAAGTATTGACTCTTCCTAGTGGAATTCAACAAACTGTATTAAGCTCTTTTTATATGCCTGACATTGTGCTGGATGCTGGTCTTATAGGGATGAATAAATCATCATTCCTGGCCTCAAAAAAAAACTTACTGCTTAATAGGAAAGAAACAGGTCTATTTAAAAAAAAAGTCCTCTTTTTGTAATAAGTAAAATAGATGTAGCAAATAGGGAGCAATTAAGCCTGTCTGGGTTGGTCAGTGGGGTCTGGGGGTGGGGGAAGTAGTCCAGGCTGAGGAAGCTCTAAGCACAAAGCTGGAGGTGTGTTCGAAGCACTGGGACTGCTCTAAGAGTACAAAGTCCAGTGTAGTGGCAGGATGTCTCGCCAAGAGCTTGGGCGTTGTACCTTTTCTTGGAGGGCAGCCAGTGACTCGTTTACGCTGGGATTGACACGCTTGGAGTTACACTTTTAGCAAGGTAGTAAGCACAGTATGTAGGTGACTGGAGGGGGCTAAAAGATTAGAGCAGGGAGACCAGTTAAGAGGCTTTTGCAATAATCTAGGTGAAGGATATTGAGGGTATATCAACCTTAATACAGGCATAGCTGAGATAAAGGAAGAGAAGGGATTCAAAAGATATTTAAGAAGCAACGCAATATCACTACCCCTAAATGGGTTTGTTGACCTATTGGATGTGGGAGGAGAGGAGAGGAGAGTGGAGGAGTGGAGTGTGACTTCCAGGCTTCTGCAAATTCTGTTACCTGATCTTTTTCAAACATTTATGGCAATTTTCCCCATAAGATATCACCCGTATAAATATGACCTTCTGAACGGAAAGACTGCCAAGTCTGGATATAGCATAAAGTGGAAGTGCCTTGGGAACTTGGGAATGCTGACAAAGTGTATTTCCCAAATGTCACCTTTCAACTCTAGCACCCTCTACTAGCCTGTCCCTAACTATTTTAATATTTTTTTCTGCTGCTTCTCCTTAAAGGCCACACATTATTTTCTCTACCTTTTTTTCCTATTCTCTTTTTCCCACCCTAGCCAGGAAAAAAAAAGCATCTGAAATTTCAAGGTGTTGAGAACAGATGTGTGTTATTACCACTTATCTTTTGTTTTGGTTGTGAGTATAAGATTGAGCCTAAGGGTGACAAGGTCTTAGATACACCCTGGGGGTCTCACTTCTCATTACTGGTAGCTGGAAACACAAGTGGGAACAGGACAGCCACATCACCTAGGGACATTCTGTATAAAGGCAAATGACTTAAGAGACATCTCCTCCTTCTCAACCCAGACTGCCAGTCCATACAACTTCCATGGGACCCCAGTTTGAAAACACTGCCTTGGGGCTATTCATTTATCAACCTTTATTCATTTAATCAACCTTAGCTTTTCTAGGTTGTGAATTCTTTAATATATGTTGCTATTTCTAGAGGAACAGTAGGAACTTAAAATGCATGATAGAGGTATGTTCAAAATATTATTTCCCTTGTTTCCAATTAAAACAAAAACATCAATTGCATTTCAGGGTGGGGACCACCGGGGTCTTTCTTGTTAAGTATCAGTTGTGATTTTAATTAACAAAACCAGCTTGAAACAGTATTGGTGAAGAGTATAGTACAACACAGCCTTTTCACACTTTTGTTAGTTTTTACAAGAGTAAACTATTTTATATGTTTCGAAGTCTGTATACTGATTAGATATTGGTTAGAAATGAAATCAAATGTTATAAATTTTAAATTGTTTATTTCCAGGAGAGGGAAATCCTCTGAATTTAAAGCTCATACAGCTCCAGTTCGAAGTGTGGACTTTTCAGCTGATGGCCAGTTTCTGGCTACAGCTTCTGAAGACAAATCCATCAAAGTATGGAACATGTATCGCCAGCGCTTCTTATATTCCTTGTACCGACATACACACTGGGTACGCTGTGCCAAGTAAGTGCAAAAGGTTTCATAAGCAGATTTCCACGTTTTTTTTCCTGCCCATGTTTGTCGATGTTTGCCCCCCAACTCCCAGAAAAGGAGATTAGGGGCAAATTCATTTATTCATTCATTGAGCAAATATTTATTGTGTGCCTGCTATGTGCTGGGAACAATAGTAAACAAAACAGTCAAAAACCCTTGCTGTCCTGAAGCTTACGTTCTAGAGAGGAGAGAGAGACAATACACAAATAGGAAAATAGATATAGTAGGTCAGATGGTAGTAAGTGTTCTGTAGAAAAACAGAGCTTGTTGGGAAGAGGGGGTGCAATTTTGAACAGGGTGTGCAGCGACTGCCTCACAAAGAGGGTGGCCTTTGAGCAGAGACCTAAGGAGAGGAGGGAGTGAGGCTTGAAGATATTTGGGAAAGGAATGTCCTAGATAGAGGAAACAAGTGTAAAAGCCCTGAGGTGGGAGCCTGGTGGCTATCTGAGGGCAAGCAAGGAGGCTGGTGGGGAGCAGAGGGCGGGGAAGGAGTGAGGGAGGCTCAGACGGAGGCCGGGGCCAGGAACAGCTCTGACGTACACCCTGTGTGAGATGAGATGCCACTGGAGCGTGTTTGTCTCTCTGGCTTGCACGTGAATGGGACTGCTCTGACTGCTGTGTAGAGGAGAGACTGTCAAAAGTCAGGGCAGGGCTGGCCCCATGGCGTAGTGCTTAAGTGCGTGCGCTCCGCTGCTGGCGGCCCGGGTTTGGATCCTGGGCACGCACCGATGCACCGCTTGTCAGGCCACGCTGAGGCGGCGTCCCATATAAAGTGGAGGAAGATGGGCCCAGATGTTAGCCTAGGGCCGGTCTTCCTCAGCAAAAAAGAGGAGGATTGGCATAGATGTTATCACAGGGCTGAGCTTCCTCACAAAAAAAAAAGTCAGGGCAGAAGCAGGGGGCCGTTGTTAGGAGGCTTTTGGAGTAGTTCAAGCCTCGGCTTGGACGAGGGAGGTGGCAGTGGAGATTTCGAGAAGTGGTTGGATTCTAGATATAGTTTGAAGTTACAACCATCAGTTCCTGCTGTCATGTTGGATGTGACGGAAAGAGAGGAACCAAGAATGACTGCATAATCTTTGGCAGCAGTCTGTTGGGATGAGTGCTATTGTACGTGTTATTGACTGTCAGCTAACAGCCATGGAGCCCTTTCTGTTCCTAAGACACACTGCTAAAGTACTTAAAATATGTATCTCGTCTTCCCATCAGAACTGGCTGTTATTTTATTTTCCCCATTTTGCAGATGAGGAGACTGAGTTTAAGAGTTAAAGTTAGAACTCATCTAGCTGAAAGTGACAGAAACCCAAAGAAATTTTTTTTTCTCCCCTCAAGGTGGTTAATTGGCTGATGTGTTTGATAATCTTGGAGTGGGGAGGGGGAGACTAGAACCAGGGACTCCACTGCTCTCAGTCTCTCTGTGGACCTTTCTACGCGCCGGCTTTATTCTCCCAAACTTCCTGGTACTAAGGTTGCTGCCAGCTGTAGGCTGAAGTCCTCACAGTTTTGTGACTGGACAGGAAAACCTTCCCCAGCTCTGGTTAGGAAAGTACCCGGGGGTGACTCTCAGCTTGGGCCCTGTGCCCATCCTTTCACCAGGTGGTGAGATACTGTGGTCCTCTCAGCTCAGCCAGGCACCTGACTGAGACCAGCTACCCCGGCCAGGGAGGAGGGGTCATCCCAGCCACGTGTTCTGGTGGTGGAGAGAGAGGACAGTTCTCACAAGAACTGCCCTCTGTTAACCATAGTTATGCTCCAATGGGACGCTATTGCTCAGGAGGTGTTGATTCTAAGAAGAATAAAAAAAGGTAGACTGAAGACCATACTTTTAGTCAGTAGGTTTTTTCTTCTAAAGGTCTCAGTTACTTTTGTCTCTGGCCATATCAGTATTATTTCTATATATGCCACATAGCTATGTGGTTAAGAACATGCACCCGAGACCTAAGTATATAGGTTAAAATCCCAGCCCTGCCACTTCCCAGCTGTGTGACCTTTGGGGAGGTTACGTAACTTCTCAGTGCCTCGTTTTTCTTACCTGTAAAAGTAGAATGATGATAATAGTAACCTGCCACGTAGGTTGTCAAGGTATTTAAATGCATAAGTTTACATGGAGCACTTAGAATCATGCCTCCCGCAGAGTGATCATTAGATAAATCTTAGCCATCATTCTCATCACCGTTATTGAACGTCTCATTCTTATTTAATTTTTTTTTTTTTTTTAATTTTTCCCCCAAAGCCCCAGTAGATAGTTGTATGTCATAGTTGCACATCCTTCTAGCCGCTGTATGTGGGACGCGGCCCCAGCATGGCCGGAGAAGCGGTGCACTGGTGCACGCCCAGGATCCGAACCCGGGTTGCCAGCAGCGGAGCGCGCGCACTTAACCGCTAAGCCACAGGGCCGGCCCTCTTATTTAAATTTTAAAGATATTGTGTAACTTGAGTTGATAATTTTTTCCCACCTAAGGAGGTGACATGTGTGATAGTCCCAAGAGACTGGTCAAATCATTTGTATTTAGAAAATAATGTTGTAAATAAGAAGAGGAGGCAGAAGTCTATCATCTAGGAGATCAGGCCAAGAGAACAGACAGGGGTCCAAGAGACTGGGCCAGGTGATGGAGACAGTTATTTAGCGCCCACTCTGTGCCAACTCTGGATATGTTTGGCAAAGAGACTGATTTTTGTTACCTCTGTCAGGGAGCTCATCATAAGCAAAAACATTGAATATTGATTTAACTAATCAAGACAGAATGTTTCATGTGCAATCTGCCTAATAATAATAGCTGTTATTTATCCAGTGTGTCCTCTGTGCCTCTATTTCTTTCCTAAAATAATTTAAGGTGGTTTATAATCACTGTCATACCTATGTATACATCCGTCACTGGAGAGCATGGGAGACAACTCTATCTAGAACCATGTAACCTTGGGTAGTGCAAATTCAGCATGATGTTTAGCCTGAGTTTCCTGTAACCAAGATATGAATGGAATGATGGTGGCTGACATATTTTCATTTTCTAACAAAAAGGAATCCTATCAAGTTGTTCAGATAAGAGGAAATTTTTCCTATAGTAAATTCTAGGATATACATTATTTCTTGCCCTTATCTTGAATCATCTATCTATAATATAAATGTAAAAAAAAAAGATAATACTAATGTAAGACAGAAGAACTTATGAAGGGTTGCAGGGTCACCAATAATGTAAAATTTTGGTCTTCAAAATATTCCTTTAATTAGCATAACCCCCTGCTGTGTACCACATATCTGTGCTGGGTATTAAGCATATAGAGATGAAAGATAGTCTTAACCTCAAGGAGCTTTTATAGTTCAATGGAAAAAAATAGATACCAAATAATTATAAAGTGGTGTGTCGTATGGGAAAATGATACAAAGATGATATAGGAGTGTGTGAGTGGGGCATTGAACTAGACTTGTGTGAGGAAAAGTCAAGGAAGACATTCCAGGCCCAGAACTGAGGGACGGGAAGGGGAAGAGGAGGCAGCAGTGTATTGTCAGACGGAAAGGGAGCGGCAAACCTTCCACAGAGGGAATCCGCAGGAGTAAGCACTGTGGCCTGACGGAACGCGGTGTGCTCTGGGAAGGTTAACTATTCAGCCGTGGCCCGGCACAGGAAGTAAAGTGGGACAAGGTGTAGGAGGCAGGGAAGGCTCAGGGTGCTGGTGCTACGAAGACTTTAGACTTCATCCTACAGATGATAGGGAGACAGTGGAGGGCTTGGAACCGGGAAGAAGCATGATCATTTCTGAGCTCTTCTTTATAACTGATCTGTTCTACCAGCATGACTTTGCAGTTAGAGGGTTGGCACGAGATAGTCCGAGATTCCTATGCCTACCTGCACCATCTCATTACCCTTAGTCAAGATAGTTCACAGCTCTCAGCCTCTGTGGAAAGGGAGGGTAGTGAGGCTTCTCAAAGTGGACTGTTGTGAGGATGATAAATACAAGTTTGAGGTGTTTAGGATTGAGGGATGCAATAAGACTGCTCTTCCACCAGCTGGGCACCATCAGTTAGGGAGAAACTCAGGAATTGGGGGGTGAGCCTCTGGAAGTGTTGTTCTCCTTTATCAATTTGAGAGAAGAAAGCCATGGTCAAACTCTGCACTTTTGTCTGCCTAGCATCCATTCCCTGTTTCCTGATAATGGTGCCTGAGTTCTCCCTGAGGAACCAGCCCTCCCCCAGGGTCCCTCTGTATGTTATGTATGTGCTGGAGCGGCCCTGTCTCAGTGGTATTTGCTCTGCAGAAAAATACTGTAGGGTAACAAGACAGAGAGTGATGGGGTTGGGAGGTGCTCGTTTGCATATGGCGGTCAGGGAAGGCATCTCTACTACAGTGACAGTTAATGAAGTGAGGGAGCTGGAAGGCTGGTGTCAGGGGAGAGTGTTTGAGATAGCATCAGATACAGTGTGAGAAGCATTGTCAAGTGTTAGTTGTAGGGTGGGGAAAGCTCAGAGGAGTTGTGCAAAAATGGGGGCTGAATGAATCAATGAAAGGTTGACCTCTAATGTGCAGATAGCTTTGGTGAGAGTTTTCACGGTCTCTTTCAGGGAAGAGTCATTTTCTGGATTTTTTATATAAATTCAGGAGTACTGTACACGCGTATTGTGCATGGAGAATGTTTATGTGGCTTCACTGCTTTCTTTTTCCGTTTTGGTCTATCTTTGTTTAGATTGATAATTTTTATACACAGCACAGCTGGTCTTAATGGAATGCCTTTATCTCACTGGTACCTTGTGGTTCTAAGGGTATTTTTTTTTAATCAGTTGTTTTCAAATCAGTTGTTTGGAGGGAGTGATTCATGTGAAATTCTGCAGCGGCCTCTCTGGAGGAATGTTCTTTGATAAGTAATTTGGTTAAATTTAATGAATAAAGATTTCATCTTCGTAGCAACTTGCCATGTTTGTGCTCTACAGCATACTTGGAGATTCACACATTTATTATAATCTTTTTTCTTGGCTCATC